ACATCATACCATCTAAATTAATTTGATTTGGACCAATGTTCTGATATAATTTAGAAGAAGCTACTTGTAACATTAATTCTTTGTTTCCTTTTCTTCTTGGTTTTGGCCTGACCATGAGGGAAAAACAAACAAACAAACAAACAAACAAACAAAAAAACACCCAGCCACCTTGATTATTCCTTTTATTGTCACTTGGAGGTAGATTGGAGGAATTGGAAGTGTTTCTCACTTCCAACTGAACTGAGCTTCAAAACATGGGAGACACTATTCTTCTGGAATTTCACTTGAAGTTTTTTATCCAAGTATTAGATACGTCCATGTAATTTTAAGTAAATTAATCATGCGTTATCTTTATTTAAGCTTATTTTATTAATACAAAAACTATTTAATTTAGAAATGTATACATTTCTAAAAAGATTTTTTACTTATAGATCTGGAAGAAGAGGTATTTAAATGGTAAATAAATTACGTAGCTTTTGTTTGAAAAATCACAATGATTTTTAAACAAATATGATTACTTTCCAGTTCCAAAAAAATGTAGGTGAAAATCAAGATCTGCTGTGACAATGGGTATGCTCAAGATCATAAAAAGTACACCTCTTGTTAGGCAAATAGTGTTTTTTGTGTAAGAATAATAATGAGAAGTGCAAACAAGAAAAGTTAGTTTAAGCACAGAAGCTGCATTTTATTATTCTGAGATATAAAGCTGATATAACTTAAAATTTAGACAAACTTTTAGCAATTTCAAAATAGATTTCATCTAAACTTTCGGAGGGTTTGCATTTTATTATAAGAAAAAGATGAGTGTAAAAGCATGGGACTGTAGGCTCCAGAGAGTGACTCCCTTCAATCTATTCAATCTTCTGTGAGAATGACTAATGTGTAAAGCTTCAGACCACTGATAGTAATTATTCTCTAAATTAAGGATGAGCTCTGTCCAATCTTCTTTGATGATTAAGAAAGCCAAATTTTCAAAGCTAATTATTTTCTTAGTTAGGGTCATTGTTGTTTATTGTTCAGACACCTTTAGGGTAATTAGCATGCCTGACCTAAATTAAGAACACTTAGCACATTTTGTTGACTATGCACAATAACAGATACCACCCCCCCCACCACCACCACCCCTGACTGAAATATACTGGACCTCTCTCTCCTGTGGTGTTCCACAGCAGAGGCAAATTTCACATTCAAGAATGCTTCCAACATGAACATTTGACTGCAGGTCCTAGCTTATGTGGCTAGCCAATTTCACTGTGTCGCTGCAAAGGGTAAAGTGACCTCTGTGCTCTCCCAGTCCTTTGTTTCTCCAAGCACTGAAAGCTGACCACAGTCAGCCATGAAACTATTCTAAACTACATTAAGATTTAATGAGAACCGGCTTGCTCGTCTGGCCCAATGGTCTGCGGCCTTCATCAGCAGAAAGTAGCTGGTATTTGGCGAAAGAGTAGAAAGCAGAGCATATTGAATGTTTCTCACGTGATACATACCCATCTAGCTTCCAACAATCATGACTGTCTGAACCAAAGGTGGCACTGCTTTTAATACCCATGGTCTAATTAATTTTGTACTTGGACTGTGAAAAACAGTAAGCAGTCCTTCCAAACTTATCTTCCCTGTATCTTTACCAATTGTATACAACATCATATTCACTTCTGAGACAAAGAATACTGTTCTACTTAGTCTTTATAACTGCAATATTTTCTTGTTGTTTTCTTGTTTATACCTTTTCAGGTTCTAGTACTCTTTTTATGAAATGGATAACTAGAATTGCAAACTATTTTCAGTATATAAATGTACCTGTGGTCACAGAGAATATATAAAAGAACATAAACATTTCTCTTGTGTCTTTCCAAATAATTCCTTCTGTTTTATTTTATTTTGATTGACATTGGTCACTGAGCTCAGGGTATTTCCAGAGAACTACCCAAAATATATTCTTAGTGAATTTGAAATTTCAGTTATCAATTTATCACCTGTTCATTCAGTACAGTAATATTCTTCTGTAACTTTGTGTAGTCAGCCTGGTATTAGGCAGTCATTAATATGGCTAATTTTCTACTGTTACTGTGTTACCGTTAATTTCCTTTTCCACATTGTTTATGAATATGTAGAAAAGCTCAGGTTCCACCTGACAATGTTTTCCTACTGCCTGAACCTAATTCTTCTTTTCTCCATTTTAAACCAACTACTATTCATAGGAAGACTTTTCCTCTTATTGCAATTTTCACTTGCATGTTTAGTGATGGGTTTTATCAAACTTTTTGAGCCCTCCAGTGCTAATTAGGTAAAACTTAGCAATCCACTTACTGGTATTAAATTCTGTTTTACTTGTGAGATATGTCTTTCCTCTACAAAAGTCATTCTGATTATTCTCCCCTATTTTATATATATCCATGTGACTACTGAGTCTACCCTTTAATAAGTATTCCCCAAGCAGCAAGAGGAGCTCCAAGCAATTCAAATTACATTATATCTTTTTTCCCCTCTTTTTTTTTTTTCTTCAAATCTATGACTCATAATGCTACTAAAGTGCTAAAGTTCGACTTCACTGTCAGAGGAGTCATCCTGAAGTAATGTGATTGTTTGCAGACATCTGTATCTGTAGGGCCTCTGTGTCCAAAGTAGCTTGAAATGAGGATCGCCTTTCCCCTCGTGTTCTTGTTCTTTGACTCTAGCCCTAAGAATGCACTCAGGGAGCTTTAAATACAAGCACGTCCATGCATATCCATGGTCAAAAGCTCTGCAGAGGAAGAAAGGTAATTCAGCACTCCAGCTGAATGCTGGATTCCTCACGTTCAAACCAAAGCCTTGAAATGTGTCCATAAACTCACAGACACTTAGCAAATGGGGCAAGGATTTACTGCAGTTACGCAATACAGTTCTTCTGCTGGGCAGGTCAGCCCATTTTCATATAACCTTTCTACTGCACAAATGCTTCCTGGAGATGAAGAAGGAATGAATGACTCTGCAAATGCTGTGACAAAAAGACATTTACTCCCTTGGGTGGATTTTCCAACTGGATTTTTGAACAGCAGAGCAACTTTGACATTACCGACACTGAGAAAGGCTCCTGATTTTCAGGGAGAAGCTCTCAGAATTACAGGAGCACATGAATGGCCATGTTGTGACAGGCCCAAAGTCCTACCCAGCCCAGCTGTGCTTTCTCCAGCAGTGGCTGTAAGATGATGCTGAAGAAGAGTAAGGAGGCAGTCATATATGACATTTCCAACAGCTTTGAGCTAAGGTTACCATGATCCACCTCATTGCTAGTTCTGCTAGTATCTCTCCTGCCAGTATTTGTTTGCTCTTCCCTTGAACTCCAGCAAACATCTGACAACCACAGCAGGAGCTATATGTCCAGTGTGTTACTGCAAGGGCAGAACTGTATACGGCAGTGTGAAAACAAGAGTGCTATGAAGCCAGGCCAGAGTTTTAAGGCTGTTAATTAGGGTTTTGGAAAAGACAGTCTGGGTCATCCGACTCCAGGTACTTACTCTGATAGATGTGGGTTTGTCCCACACTGACACTAAAGAAAGAATTGAAAGCTCAAGAAACTAATTTCTGACCACAAGGCTAGTATTCCCAATTACTATGTTTGGAAATAATTGCAGGTCCAGACACATTCATTCCCTTTCTATGTCCACAATTACTTGAATGGAGCATAATAAATTAAAATGTTTAGCAATCTTCACAGCCTAGCACTTCCCACCTAGCTGCAAAACCCGCCATGGAAAAGTGAATGGCTGTGTTCAGTGCTCTGGATTCCAGGGGGCTGCCAGCTCTTATTGTGTGCTTATAGGAATGCCTGGGGTGGGGATGCACCAGGTGACACTGAAGGCCAGGGACACAAGGTTGATTCTAAAGACAGATCAGGCATTACCAGTTCTCACACACAAAATTAAAATAAATGAATAAATGAAAACATCACAGACATTTTTTTCCCTGCTTCCTCTGAGTCTGTATGATGGAGCCTGGTGCAATGCTGTGTGTTTATGGTGCAACCATCTGCAAGGCCAGGCTGCAACGTCAACGTGCCATGCCATGGGATACTGCAGCACAAAGTTGTAAGCATCATGCATTGGCTATCACAGCACCCCACACCCACGGAACTGTTGTAATCCACCTCACACCTGGGATACACTTGTTTGTAACCAATCCATAGGCATGTACCCTATGGATAACCCACACAACTAAAGGGGAACAATACTGCTGTTTCAGCCATTCCAGCACTTCTCAATCTCCTGATGGTTATGTCCCTCCATACCTTCTTGCCACGTTATCAGTGGTCTCTTACACTTCCTGACTCTATCAGGTCATCGATCCCCCTCATTTAGCTTGAATCAGTGAGAAACTGTAAGGTGCAAAGGCTGTATAAAGATTTTTTTTTTTTTTGATTCTCAATTGTGCATTTGAATGTAAAAAAAAAAAAGTATTCATACATTTCTATTGATCCACCTAATCTCCTTCTTGAAGTGCTTTATTACTGGTAGATTAATAATAATAACAAAAAGAAACACAACTTCCTGCTCAGGCTGACAAGTCTTCAAATCCATACTGCTTGGAAAGCAGTGTGCAACCAAATTTCTTTCATTCATCTGAAACTAGGTGAAAAAAATGGTGAAAACAGGTGATCCTGCTCGGCAGGGGGGTTGGGCTAGATGATATTCAGAGGTTCCTTCCAACCTCGGCCATTCTGTGAAACTGCCGCTCAGAAAAGACGCCTGCAAGCCTGCAACAGGTGAGCTCACCTGGTTTGAAAGAGATAGGGAAAAAAAATAAATAATAAAAGAAGAGAGGGAGAGAGACGAAAGCCAAATCCGCCCGGAAAGAAAAAAGTTAACCGCCTGGCAATCCTCAAGCAGCCCTGCCGGGAGCCACTTGCGCGCAATCTGCGCACAACTTGCAACCCGAGTTTCCCCGAGGCGCGTCTCCGCGCTGCTCCGCGGCCAGGCGGGGCCGAGCGCGGAGGGAAGAAAGGAAGGGAAGGGAAGGGAAGGGAAGGGAAGGGAATGGGCGCGGACAAAGCCGCGTAACGCCGCGCAGGTAGGCGGGCGGGGCCGGGCGGGGTGTCCCAGCGCCGTGCCCGGGACGGGCATTACCCAAAGAGAAGGAGGGAGGGATACAAAAAAAAAAAAAAGGTAATTAAAGTCGCCGCTGCCGCGCGCGGTCCCACCCTCCCCACCGGCCGGCTCCTCTGCCAGACGGGAGGGGACCGAGGGAGACGGCTTTCCGCGCAGACACACCGCCGCCGCCGAGCACTCCTCGCCCCGCCGCGCAGCGCAGCGCAGCCCAGCATGGCCCCCGCCGTCCCCAGCCTCGTCCTCGGCCTCCTGGTGAGTGGGTCAGGGGCTCGCACGGGGCTTTGCGACGATTCCGGCTCTGAAAGCCCCTTGCAGGCTTGGGATGGGGCTGGGGTTCCCGTCGGAAGGGGGGAGGCGCTGGGGCCGCGGTGTGGTGCGATGGAACCGGGCTGCGGTTGCAGGCACTGGTGCGGTCGGTTCGTGGGGGGGAAAGCTGAGCACGGCTCGGTTTGGTTCGAGTGTCCGTCCCCCCCCGCCTCCTCCGGGACCCCCAGCGCCCCGCCGGCACCTTCCCCTGCCTGCCTTCCCCCTGCTCTGCGTGGGTTGGTGTGCAGGAACCGGCTGCCGACAGGCTGATGCCAGAGAGAGAGCGGCGGAGTTAATTTTTATTTCGTTTTTATTACTGTCTTTCTTTTATGGATGAGTGGAATTAATTCCCCCCCCCCCCCCCACCCTTCCCCTTTATTATCACTGCGTTCTTAGAACGAAGGCAGAGAGTACTTTGAGCTCAGGAAAAAAAATAAATCAGTAGCATTGAATCACTGATTTTATTATTTTTGTGTCATTAGATATGTACATTTTAATGAGTGTTACTATTCCAGATGTGGTATGCATTCTTGCCTTGCTAAGTTATTCATAATAAAACCCAAAGAAACCCAAATGAGCTTATTCATTCATCTAATTAAAAAGAAGACAAAATTCCCCTGTCAAGTAGGGGGGAAAAAAGCCTGCACACACCCAAACCTAAAAAAAACCTAAGGTGTCGTCTTAATATAAAGTGAATGGACATCGCAACTTATTTTTACCTTGCATCTCCTTATATCTTGATATTCACAAATATCCACTACTTAAGTTTGTTTAACTCCAGTAGCTCTTCATACTGACATCAGACTACCTTGGCATTACTGATTCAGGAAATATCTTAGAACAGTGTAGTGAAGTTGTATGACTTTAATAGTTTATAGATTTATACAGTAGCTATCAGGAGAGAAGGTTTTATTAAGTATCTTTCAATAAGGAAAATGCCTTCGAAGACATAAGCAAGGATGTTTAAAGTGTTTTGTGTATACATGTTTTTATCTGTGTATATATACGTAAGAAACAGTATAAACTGCTTTTATTATGCAGACACAGCATTTAAATTGCTTTAATGCAATCATTACACTCCACATTTAAACTCAATCTTTTACCTGATCTTAGTTTTTGTAAAGATTGCTAATGCCCTTAAAGATTTTATTTTTATTTAAGTATTAATAAGTTATTTTCAGAATTTCCATTAGCTATTTATTTTTTTATACCTTTAATCCTAAAAAGATGTGCAAAATAAAGTTGAATTTCCTTTTTGCTAGACTTTCATCCTGAAAGAATAAATGTGCTTAAAAGGATGAATATATTTATTTACATTTTCTGTTTATTTGTTTAATTGGCTGTGTGATTTTTGGATTAAAAATTTAAACATATGGATAAAAACTAGACAGAAGGTGTATATCCACACATGCGGAATCTGAGGTCAAGACTAAATTAGTCTGTGCTGAGGAGTATCTTTGTACTTCTATGACTCTTATAAGAAGTTCTGGTTATCTGGATAATGCATCATTTGAATTTTGAGGAGGACCCCGTTTTGTAACTGGTTTTATGGGAGTGGACTGCTGTCATGCACAGTGTTTTATTTATGTCATATCTAATTGCTGAAGCTAGATTTAACCAGTTTAGAATGTACTTTGAAGATGCAAAGCGATACATAAGTGCAAGTGTCGTCATGTGGTCTTAATAAGACACTTGTCCCTTTAATGTTAGGCATCGGCAAGGTTTTTCCAGATGGAATTAGATGGGTTGAACCTTAACGCTCCGGGGCTTTAGACCTAAATTGACCAGGAGTGCTATTGGAGGAAGCACATTGTGGAGTTGTACTTTATGTTTACAGGAAAGTAGTAGTGTAGGCGACATCTTGTCTAAGAAAAGTCTCACTGCTGTCAGTGCTGCCGCGATTTTAGAAAAAAACACCATTGTGTTGCATGGTACCTGTCTTTTTGGCTGAAAGGTGCTTTCTGGATCTTTTCTCTAGCTCCTCTTTCAAAAAAACAAACAACAACAAAACAACGACAAACAAAACAAAGGCAGCTTCAGTAACAGTAGTTATTATTCAAAATATCATGTAATTATTTCTTTTTCCTAACTTTGTTATTTGTTTTCTAGGTATTGAGTTTATGCTGTGATGCTTGCAAGAAAGTCATTTTTCATGTTCCTTCTGCATTAGAGGCTGGCACATTAGTTGGCAGAGGTGAGAAACTGCAGGATGCCCATCGTAACAATAAAGGATTGTACCTTTTCTGGAGAGGCTGTTCACAGTAGAAGAGTTTTTTTGTTTTTTTTTTTTTCTTGTTTAATGGAATGAATGGATGACTGGACAGGCAGTTAAATAGCTGGATCAGCTTTTTTATGAAGGATACGCCCTGTATTTGTTACGGGTTTGAACACTGACTCTTTGCATCCATTTGACTTTTGCATAAACAGCTATCGTCAGCTTGCAGTATGTGCTTTAAAACTAGAATGACAGAGTTTAATGTTCTCAAAGTTCGGAGTTCTTAAGCTTAGTATTTAAATACGTGGCTTAATATTCCAAAGTGTACGTATAAACCACAGAGTCATATGAAGAAGTCAATAAGTCATTTGTATAATGGGAAAGGAAAAACTAAGACAACCCACATAACCAAAGAACCCAGAAGCTGCTGCTGTGTTACAAGTGTGAAATACAGCTGTGACTTCTCAGCTGTGGTGGGGTGCTCGGGGCACACGAGGAGACAAGCTGGAAAGGTATCCTGCATGCACACCAGTCTGGGAGAGTGCTCCTGGCTGGCTGGGTTGGTCTGTCTCAGTTAAGTTGATAGAGAGGCAAAGGGGACGCCAAAAAACACTCAATCTCATTTTTTTTCCGGTCTTTGAAAGGCAGTTTTTAAAGTCAAGGTGGGGGAGCTGTTGTGTCCTGTGCTGCCTGAGACTGAATTTGAGGCTGCGGAGGTACCCTGTGTCAGTCTCAGGAGAGCAGAAGTGCATGCCGCAAATTCCTACAGAAAGAACAAAACCAGTAGATTTGTAATTATTCATAATACAAGTGGTTAGAAAATTTAGCTCTAAAACTGAAAGCTCATTGACCTTCCTGTTAAACTTTAAAGGTTACAGATGTTGAAGTTTTTGCATATTCTCAATATTTCTCTGTTTAAATAAATGAAAATTTTATATAAAGTAAAACTTCTTATTACAGTGTTATGAAAGAAATTGTGTGACACTGGACTTAAACTTTCCAAATATTTAATGAAGGCTATATAGCTTGAATGGCATTCCTTAAACATTTATTGAGAAAGGGTAATACATTTTGCATTGATATCAGGGATCACAGCATGACAACGAAATGACTCATGATTTTTCTTGTTGTTAAGAGATTTTATATGTTTCTGTCTTATGCGATATAGACAAGAGACTGTAAAGAAAAAGATCCCACAAAGCTATGACATACTGAGCATAATGTTGACTCACATAATGATTGCAAACAAAATTTCCATTCTGGTATTTTTGGAAATACAGTGCTCTAATGTGCAGCAGTGCTATAATATGCACCTTAAAGTGAGGGGGTGATAATTCTGTGCAATACTAAATTATTATTTTTTTTTTCACAGATTGGCAAGGGAGAGGAGTCACTGCTGCAATACTATAGGAAGTCTATTAAATGTTTAACTGTGCAGTTAAAAGAAGGGCTTAAGAAGAGGGAGAAAGGAGAAAAAAAAAGCCATATTTAAAGTGATACTTCCCATCAGTCTTTGCATTGTTGAAAGATAAATGACATTTCTTTTATTAAAAATATCATCTGCATACATAGGGTGAAATTTTGAATCTAACCTGGAATCACTTGGCTTTTGTGCCCAATTTTTTTTTTTTTTGTAGCAAGACCCAGTATACTACGATACCATTGAAGAAGTATTGAAGTATCTAGTACATAGTTCTCTTTATTTTAAAGCCTTTTGGTTTTGTACATACACACACGCACAGAGCATTTTGGAATTTATTAAGAGAAGAAAAAAGATGTTTGACTTGGAAAACATGACACTAACACCTCCATGTACTCTGCAAGGGTGATTTGTGTATAGTTTGGACCTCTGGCCTGCATCTTTTTTAGGGTGCCAAATAATTATTACTTAGTGCAATAGCGTGACGGTGCTGTTGCAGTTCATTATGATTATCCTGATTTTGCCCCCCCCCCCCCCCCTCAAACCGTAGTGAAGAATTACACTCTTCAGTCAAACCAGTGAGAAGTGTATTAAAATTTATTCAAGCCACAAGTTTATAGCAAATGCAATAAAAATACTGAAGAAAAAAAAAAAAGGAAGCATGCTGACCTTACTTGGTACTTCCTGTCAACCCTGTGGGACTCTGTCATGCATATATTTTAAAAATGTCAATCATTTGTTCTAGAGTTAGTCTGTATCTCTCTGATCAGTCTGCCTCATAATTTAAAGGCCTTTGTCCTCCCAAGACTTCTAAATCACATAGAACCAGTCAGTGCTTTCCTCCTGAGGGCAAAGCTTCCAAGAAGTAATAGCTCCATTGGGAATTTGCATTAATTAATCATCTTCACTGATTTTGTGGGGCATGGAGCACAAGACAAATATAATACCTACTGATCCACTAATGAGCGTGTCTGCAGTGCTTATTGCATTTAAACGTATAAGTTTATCTCTGATGCTTCAAGAATTCCACCAGTGGAAATTCAAGTAAACTTGGTCAAGTCTGAGTGCATAATTGGGTACAAGAATCTATATTTGTGGTGCTTACTTAACGAATGACCTAATTTAGAAAAGCTCCAAATGCCAGTAAATGTCATTTTAAGTTTTAATTAGTGAATGATTTTTCACTTCGAGAGGTATGTTATCGTTACATTTATTGTTTACGTCTCTTTTCTTACAGTTAATTTGAACGAGTGCCTTCAGTCTGCAGAACGTATCAGTTCCAGTGATGGGAACTTCAAAGTTCTGGAAGATGGCTCTGTATATACCACATCTGCTGTTTCTTTCTCTGATGAGAAAAGGACTTTTACCATATTACTTAAAGATATTCAAAAACATGTAGAAAAGAAAATACATGTTGATTTGGTGACAGATGAAAAAAAGGTGGGCTTCTAATTCCAAGGTCCCTTCCTTATTTGGGTGCAGTTTTACAGAGGAGTACAGTTTGACACTGGGTAGCTGTAGATGAATTTTTAGAATTCAGGCAGAGTAGTCTTCTGTAGGTTTTTTTTTGTTTGTAGCAGTTGTGATTACAGTGTGGGTTAAATCAACAGACTTCCATTCTGAAATGGGAGATGCTATCAAGGAGCTTAATCTGGAATGCCAAGAATTTTAAAAGCCATATTTGAGGCATCCAAGCAGATTTTATTTGTGCAAATTATTACAATGAATGAAAATCCTCTTAGAATGCTACAGGAGGAATGAAGATCTTGGAAAAACAAATGGTCAGTGGGGAAAAATGGTGGGGAGATGGAAAAAGCAAGGACAAGAGTTGAGTAAAAATGTACACCGTTGAGTATATTCATATATCTTTATCTTCTAGACCCAGGCACAGAAGACCAGGCAGGCTAGAGATACAGTTCTAAAGCGAACCAAAAGAAGGTGGGGCCCTATTCCATCTGTTATGATGGAGAACTCACTTGGACCTTTCCCACTACAAATTCAACAGGTATATTTTAGATGGATCCTACTTCTATGGCACAAGCTACTTTTCTATGTGACTGTTATGATATATGAAGAATGAAGTGAGCTCTCTTCTATTCTCCACTGATGCCATTCTTGCTATTACACCCATCTTGTTCTGTCCATTATATATCTTCTGATCTCATACATTAAATAACTTGTGATCGTAGTAGTTGGGATAAACTGGAAATGTGTAAAAGTTGTAACAAGGAGGAGGCATACTATGAGAAGAGAGCTATTATGCATGGAGATCAATGAAGTGTGTAATTTAAAGAAAAAAAAATCTCAAAACAGTGCTTAGAAAAAGATTGCATAGACATGGGGGGTAAAATTTTACCTACTTGTCTATATCCTTTTTTGGCATTTGTGATGTATACCTGTAGAATTTAAGACTTAGTTTGGCCTATGCTATTAGGAAAAGTTCTTACAGTAAGAAAACAAGTAGGCGTAAAAGAGAAATGCAAGAACTACAGTTATCATGGATGCATCTAGCCTTCACTAGATTACAGAGTGGCTGGTAGCAGATGTGTAGAGACAAGTGTAATAACAGAGTCTGTACAGAGCAATCATTCTACTAATCTTATCTTCCTAACTTCTGGCATTTGGTAGGTAAGGAAAGTATTTGGGGAGGGGGTTGTTTACAAGTAGATAACTGCTGATGTTACCTCCTCAGTGCCTGTAACGAGATGCAAAGAGGTTATCTGAATTGGCATGTCCCTGGACTGTGCTATAGGTTGTTTTCCTTTTCTTTATTTCTTCCTTAATTTTTCTTCAGTAATTATAAGCCATATTCTCAGTGAGTGCACTGAAACCAAAATCTTTTGAACAGAGACAAAATAAGAAGCTGTCTGTATCTGAATGTGCTTTGTACGTGCAGCATTCTAGAGAAAGTAGATTTTAAAATTAGATTTTTCTATGCACACTCTTGTTTCTTTAATTGTTCAATAATGCTGAACAATTTCTAAATTTGAATTAATTATCCCTTCTCATGCACCCGTATTATAAAGGAATGCAGTCACAAGGCGAGCTGTTCTATTCTGTGAAGCTTAAGATGATAAAGAAGTAGAAGTAAATTAAGTTTTAATTTTTGTTTTTGAAAAGTTCATGCTTCTGCTATGTGTGATCATGAAAAGGCAGAATAATGTATGAGAATGATGCTGACATTTTCCTTTGCGCTTAAAAATTCATTCTTCGTAGGTCCAGTCAGACACTGCTCAGAACTACACCATTTATTATTCTGCAAGTGGACCGGGAATTGATCAAGATCCAAAGGGTTTGTTTTACATAGAAAGAGAAACTGGAAATATCTTTGCTACTCGTGCAGTAGACCGTGAACAGTATCCAAGCTTCCAGGTACAGGCCTAAATTGTGTTAAGTATAATTTTTTTTTCCTGTCATGCACATGTTTGAAAGTTGGATTATGGAGGAGAAAGAAAGCAGACTAGATCTACAGTTAGCTGTCTGTTTAGAGTAGTATCTCTGGCCTTTGAGAGAGGAAACCAGTGACAAATATCTGGTTATGTAGATCTTGAGAGGAGTTTTGCTTTTCACTGCTTAAAGTCTAATTGCAACAGTAATGGCAGTGAGCTACTGCGTTTACATCACTTCTGGGAAGAATATGAAGTTATCCCAGAGTTTTTCAGGGAGGGCAGAAAAGGTCTGCATAAGAAACAGATCACAAACTCCAGCCAGCTATATTTTTCGAGCCTGTTTTTCTCAAGCTGCTGTCTTTGCATTTTATTAACAAGGTACGCTGCTCTCTCTACTGGCTGAGAAGTGTAAGAAGGCAGTTAGTAAAAATAAACAGCTTCTGAATAGTGAGGTAACTTGCAATACCTGTTATTGCATTTCATCGAAGTATGACGATTTATTACTATTCTTGATTTTATTCTAAATAGTAGTAATTGCATCTAAATTTTTGGTAGCGCTGATGTTGTTTCATAGACACCTCAAAAAATTGTGTTCAGGAGACTTGGAAAATATGTTTGACAAAGTTGGGGGGGGAAAGGGAAAGTGATTCAAATACTTCTAGTAAGGTGAAAGATTGGGAAGCAGTTACAGTTTTTGTGCAGTTGTCATCATTACATACTGGTCACTTCCCCTTCCATGTGGCTGAAGAGTCTTGTTTTGAGAATTGTGTGCATGACACTATTTCATTTTGTTGACTCCTCCACTGAACTGAACGTATAATAATACCAAATGGTGTTCAAGTATGAAGTGAACTACTGAATTTCTGTTTTACAGATCATTTGCTTTGCAAGCACTCCAGATGGTTATTCACCAGAGGTACCACTTGTGCATACAATCAGGATAGAGGATGACAATGATAATGCTCCATATTTTACACAGGACGTCTTTGAGTTTTGTGTCCCTGAGAACTCCAAGCCTGGTAAGAATTGTTTCAAACCGGTGAACACATTTACTGTTACTCAGCTCAGTTAAGTACCAATGTGATACTGACATTTTTCAGTGGGATTTCCTGAGTAGTGTTTCTTTACAGTGGAGGCTGAATTTTCAAAGGGCAGCCTACGATTTCTTAACTATTAGAGATTTCAGAATGTCATCTCAATAATAGTGAAAAATAATGTGTAAAACAAATGCTTTAAAATGGAGATGATTCGGTGTTCTTAAAGCAGTTTAAGAAATTCAAAACATTTCATTTTATCCAGAATTGCTGTTCTGCATTAAATGTTTAGATCACAAAGAACAAAACAGTTTTCAGGAAACTTATCTGTTAAAAACTATGTTGGCAGTATTCTAAGGTCTAAAACACTTTTGATTAAGCCTACAGTGTGTGTCCAATGTGTTGAATTAAGGTAGGATATTTCCTGGTTAGGGAGGGGAAGATAACACATGAAAGGCTTGTTTCTGCCTGTACCCATGGACAGGTAGGGATTTGCCTGTTGCTGACTTCACATGTCAGTTTAACAGAGGAGAAAAGTGGCGAGACAGGTGGGGTGTACAGAACAAGTAATGGAAAAACAGTGTTTTACCATTCCTCACCATCTCTTAGACTAGGGGTGCAGAGTGAAGAGGGGTCTAACTTGCTTTACAGAGGAGGCAAACTGCCTTCACATTCACGCCCAAAGCACCAGTTGCTTTTCTTTCTGTGAGCTACTCCACTTTTGATTGAGTGAGTTACGGTTTCAAAATGAGGTCTAGAACCACTCGGGCTGGGGATGCAGGAGAGCAGCAAGCCCCAAGGGGCGGTGCTGCAGTTTGGACTGCGTCAGAGATCACTGAACTTCCTCCTCACCTTCCCTGGCAGCTCCTTTTCATCCGTATTTGGGATGTTCAGTTAGAAGTCATTGACAGAAACTCTAGCTGAAATCAAGGCTTCTAATATTTCTCTTGATTATTCTTTCTGTTCATTTGACAGATGCGGTACTATTTAGACATAAATATCTGTTCAAATAATTTTTGCCTATTTATAGATTTTTCTGGAATTTAAAATTGCTATGTTGTATTCACAGGTGTAATTGTTGGAACAGTGACTGCAGAAGACAGAGATGAGCCTTTCACTCTGCATACTCTGTTGAGATACCGCATTGTGTCACAAAACCCACCAATAATCCCAGCATTTTCATTACATGGTGAAACAGGTGTCATTACTGTACTGTCACCACAGCTGGATCGGGAGGTGATTTTTCTTGAAGCTTATTTAGTTGTGAACATTAGTGCACACAGATAACTTAAAAATGAATTCCTGTCATGGGAATCATCAGATAAAACGTTTCTGTTACCGTTTGTGTTTCTCTCTCTGAGGAGCTTCCAAAGCTTACAACAGAGCTGGTCCAAAATCTTTCTGCATTTCTACTGTTTTCTAGCTAAACTTGGCAAGGGGACTGTCTGCTAATCCTGTTTGACACCAAGCATCTGTCTCTGGATTCCTACTCTTTCTCTGTTCATGAATCCCATGGCTGATGTTTCCTCCCAGTCAAGATCCACTTGAGGTGTTCCTTGGTTATTTACAGGGTAGATGATCCATCTTTTCTAGAAGTAGTCTGTTATTCTGCAATATCTGAATGATAAATCTGAACAATAATACAGTGTTTCTCAAAACATATGCACAAACCATTTATTGTTATCAGATAACTTTCAAGTAAGAAGATAGAGGAGATTTTAGTTTTTATCATGTTCAATGTTTTTTGGATAAAAGGTCATGTGAGTGTTTACATTAGAAACGGCACGTGTAATTCAAAACAATATTTCTTGGATAAGACATAGTAGAAAATGGGTGCAGGCACGTATTTTTTAGGATAAAAATAATTGTATTCTGGAACACTTAGTCATTTCATGGCCAAAAATTCGCCTTAATGGTGAGTTGCAAAATTGTATGCTCAGGGGTACATTACTAAGCTTCTTTAGCAAGAGAAAAATGCCATGAATGAATATCACCATGACTGCTAGGGTCACAGAGACTACTGAGGGAAAGAAAACTTCAAAAATGAGTCCACTACCTGTCTTTTAAAGATAAACTTATGAAATGGAACAGGAGCTTTCTTTTCTCCACCCAGGAAACCTAGTGCTACTTCCAGTTATTCAGAACTGGATTTACTCTCTTGACTTTCAAACTCCCTCTTTTGTGTCCAGCTCCATCTTCCCTAGGTTGTTCAGGTATTTGTAAGGCTAAGGAAAATCATTCTGCTGTTGCCATTCTAGTCACTGATTTGAGTGGGCTGCTTATCAGTGGTCCTGTAGGAACTGCTGAGGGCACCCTCCCTCTACATAATGTATCCCAAACAAAGGCTGGTTGCAGGAATGTTCATTGAAATAACAGGGTGGCGAAGCTTAATGAAAAGCAGTCATGGACTGAAGCACTTTATAAGTTGGAAATCCAAGAGAAAACTGCCACTCCAATAGGGAGGGCTAGAGAAGAGGGATTGGGAGGATGGATTAGGGGATGAAAGCACATCATCTGTGTATTCCAAAACATCAGATACTGGAAAACAAAGGTGTCTGTGGCCATTGTGGGGATACTGGGTATAGCTTACAAGTTACTGACAGGTGTGAACTCAGTGCTGCTTAGCCACTGAAAAATATTTTACTTTTTTTCCTTTTCGAAGTATAGGAAAATAGCTCCAAAGCAAACTCATATTTTGTAGGGGACAGCGATGAGTTTGGAGCAGAGCTGGGGAACAGGAATAAAACATTTATTGCTGTGTGCAACTGATTAAAAAAAAAAAACATGTCAAACTTCTGTATGCTTTTATTCTTTTCAGCTGGTGTCCACATACACTTTACTTATTGAAGTGAGAGATATGGGAGGTCAACCTTTTGGTTTGTGCACTACAGGAACAGCTGTCATTAAAATTGAAGATACAAATGACAATGCACCAACTTTTAAACAGATACAAGTAAGTTTTCATAAATTAAGTGCATGTAAAGAGTAAAATATATAAAAAACATACCACCTTTCTAATATCCCCATGGGCACTCCCTCAAGTATGATGCCTAGTGCCCTGAGACAGTTCATGCCAACACAAAACTTTGTGAACATGGTTGTTGTGTTATTTGGTAGTTAGACCTATTGCTATATTAGTTGTTGTGAGTCAACGGCTTTATTGGGAGAAAACAAACATTATTAATTCGTTTGCTTCTGCAATATGTTATCTTAGGAATCCTGTAACTTAACCATTTTTGGGGAGGGGACAGATTCACTCTGAAGCATTCCATGAGCCAGTTATCTTTGACCAGCTTTTGGCTAATTGTGTGTTGTTAGTGTCAGTGAAGTAGATGCAAGGATTTCACTGAGAATTTCTTTGTTATTCTAACTTTTTTCTATACATGAATAGTATTTGAACCACTTCTTTTTCAACAATAGCTATAAATCAGCCTTGTGTCTTTGCTTACTGCAGCCATCTAAATTATCTTCCCTTCGTTCACATTTTAACTTAAAAATTGCTAGCTCTTTTTTTTTTTTTTTTTTTCTGTCCCCGAGGAAACAAGGGCCTAGGTTAAAGGCCTAATTGCTAGGTTAATTTCTATATTTCTATTTTTAGGACAAATTATATCTCAATAAGCATATATACAGCTAAAGTGCTGCGGGACACTGGTATGAACCATAACCCATGGCCTCTTCTTAATGCTGTGCCTTGATGACGTTGTACACAAATTAGCATCTGCAGCTGATTTTAAACAAGTGAGCTGTGCTAATTTACCATTCCTGGAAGGAGAATTCCAGGCTTCATTATGTCATTGATAGCTGGGAAGTGAAAGAGAGCTATGCTGCCTGGATAGAGTTCCTGTTTCAGTCAGGGTATAAGGGAAGTATGGGGGAAATACAGTAATACATTGAAATGTACAAAGTCAACATGCTAGCTTGGTAAATTGGCTCCTTAGGTTTAACTGCAGGATTGTGGTCTAAAGGTTTAAATACAGTTGTCTTCACTCTTGAATTGTAGAATGGCATTTTCTGATTTAAGTTGATTTTTCGTTCTTTTGATACTTCCAAGTATGAAACACAAGTGGAGGAAAACAAAGTGAATGTAGAAATACTGAGAGTTTCTGTTCTTGATCTTGATGAACTTGGTGCACCTGGCTCCACAGCTGTATATGAAATTATAAGAGGAAATGATGATCGTTCTTTTGAAATTACAACAGACAGAAACACAAATGAAGGAATACTCTGTGTTGTTAAGGTAAGTGAAAATGGGACTGCTAGAGCAAAATTTGTGTCTTCAGGTGTTACTTTTTAAAACCAATAACCTAGAACTAATTTTTATTCAAAAAATATCTCTGTCAGGCATATCATGCTTTACTCCTATTCTGAACTCTATTCTAAACGCGCTACAAATGAGGATCATGTGTAATACATAACTGACAGAATTTGCATAGCTCATCTTCCAGACTATTCCTCTTTGTGTTCAGAAATCAAAAGTCTCCCTTTGCTTTATCATCCAGCTGAGCTTGGTGCTTTTTCCTGATTCTGCAGTTTGAATTGTTGAGACTTAGGGATGTAACTGAAGAATTTTTCACAGGTGAGATTTTAACAGAAGTGGGAGCATGGCTGAAGAGGGGAGTGAGGAGCACCTCCTCCAGCCTTGTTCTTTCTGGGAGTTGATTAAACTTATTACCTTGGCTTAAAACTATCCATGCTTTATTTTGCATGAGTTTAGGTAGTGAGTTTAGGTTTGCTTTTCTGGGTTGCAAAGGAGTCCATGTATGTGTAAGAAGTTACTCTTGTACCTGGTACTTTGCAGCTGTAAGATAGAAGGACCACTCTACCTGGAGTCCAGCACATCCTTTTTGTCTTTTAGTGCCTCTTTTTCATTATCTGTTAAAACTGTGTGATAGCAGGTATCTTCTAAGGAGCAGAGAAAATTAATATTAACATTTGAACATGTAAGTCAGAAGGCTAAGCTACTAATACACTACTATTATTACTGCTAATATACTACTGCTACTATTACTACTACTAATATAATAATCCAGTTGAAATTTCATGTATTTAGTGTAACTCTATAGTAGACCAGAGAGTATTGTAACATCAGGCTATAAATAGGTTTACTGGCATAAGATGTCCTTGGAGGTAGTGTCTGGAGAATTACATATGTAGATACCGACTGATGAGCCCCAGAAGTTAAGACACATTTCAAGTGGGTGAACTCTTATTAGGAAATAAATGTAGGTGCTAACAAGAAAAGTAGTGACTTGTGCTGGAAAGAAGATATTCATAGCCTAAAATAATGGTCAGTTAGGTATGGGAGGAAAAAGTCTCAGGCCACACTTAATTTTTATGTAAATTCCATTTGTGATTCACTAGCAGAGTATTCATCTGAAAAATATATAGTGATGCTGCTTACCTTATTAGGGATAGTTCCTCAGGTCCTTTTCTTTGGCTAATTTAGAACTTTGGGGTTTCTTTGCTTGTTTAAATCTTATCTCTTTACTGTGTCTCAAGCTGGATGTTCCAGAAGCTGTTGTCTTTTGTAAATGAATGCCATACAGTTTTACCTATTTAATAACTGTTCTGTGGAAACACTGCCCATCTTAGTATTAGCTTGAAACAAGGAAAAACACACACAAAAAACCTGTGTTTCAGGGTCTGGACTATGAAGGCGCCAAGCAAAGGATCCTTGTGATTGCGGTCAACAATGAGGCACCCTACATGCTGGCACCACATTCACAACAAGTTGTCCAGAGCACCAGCACTGTTGTAGTGAATGTCTTAGATGTGGATGAGGGGCCCGTGTTTAAACCCTGTTTCTTCCGCATGGACGCTAGCGAATGTGATGAGGTTGGGACAAGTATTGGGAAATACCTAGCAGAAGATCCAGAAACTGGAAATAGTGAAGGCATCTGGTATGAAACAATGTTATCTCTAGTTTATTTGGAGTAAAGCATGGAGGGATACAAGAAGGGGGAATGTTGATGCCATGTGTGTGTGAACATAAATACCTGTATCTATGTGTGTATGTGTATATAGGTATAAATATATGCATGTGTATGTATTTGAGATTCTTACCTAAACACACAAAAAAAAAATACTCTTAACAGCTACAAGATAGCACCTGGACAGTGTAATTGGATCAACATAGATGAAAAATCAGGTGAAGTCAGAACCATTAAAGCCTTGGACCGAGATCTAGGAGAAATGAAACGAGGTCAATGCAATATCACAGTCCTCGCAATAGACAGAAGTGAGTACTAAATGTTGTCTCTGCTATATTTAGCCTGTAAAAGATGTTTATGTGCAATTTTAACTTAAGGGCAACTATACTGGTACAGGTGAGAGGTGCATCCAGTGCATTGTCTTGCCTTTGGGATGACTATCAAATGCTTAGGGAATATTATACAGCAGGGCATACATACTGAGAATTTGCCCTGTTTTCTTATATTTTCGCGTTATCTGCTCCAACTTAAAGAGGGGTTTTAGTAACATGGTTGTATTCCTTTCATTTCCTGACTAAATTTTTGTTTTAACTGATGGCATGTGACAGCCATGAAGTTGACAACAGAGAAAGTAGAGAGAATTTTTCAAAAATAAGTTATCCTTGAAACTCTGTTTTCTCCTCTTCTTGGTGTCTTGTTTCTGGAGACCTTAAATTAAAAGAAACTGTAAGAAAAGCTGTATTCGCTGCTATGTGGTACTGTGCTCTTTTCCTCAGTAGGTAGTCTATGTTCTGTAACACTGTTCATTATTGCTGAGGTGCAGAGCTCTTACAAATTACTCTCATTATAAGGAAGAGTTGCACAGTCAGGTTCTTATTCTGAAACAGATTTTGGTCCTGACTTAAAGTGAGTGTTTATTCTTTCTGATCAATTTGGGTATATGTGCTTATTGCAAGAAAAGACATGGTTTTGCCTAAACATCATGTAGTCAAGATGACTAAATACACTTTTCACATCTAAATGCAAAAAATGTAGCAAATAGATTATCGAACTTTTAATTTTAAAATATGATTAAAAAATAGATTGCCTTTATAAGTCCAGTGGCAGGATTTATTTTTAGCCCTTCTGTGCTAAAGCAGGATTGTATTCCTTTTATTTCCTGACTAATTTTTTGAATACATTTAGAGCAGTTGGAATAAAGAACAGACCTTGAAGTAGCTTTACAGTTGTATTATTCAACTCTGTCCAAAGCTTGGATATTAAAATTAAGTGTATATTACAACAACTAAATTGTTTAGAGTGTCTCTTGTATCTAAAATGTATGATATGTGACTGCAATTAGGCATTTCTAGAGTCAGTTTTAAAAAGCTGTTTTGATGTAATTTCACTGTAATGTAAATACTAGCATTGAGCATTCCTATATTGGAAAAAATCAAACTAGGAGGGAGAGTCCATTCAGTTCTTACATGTAGACTTCGATGTTGATGTCGTTCATGGGTGAATGCTGCTACTGCATGGTGACAGAAGGAAGAGAACAGAAAAGACATGGTGTTTTTTTTGTTTGCCAAAGTGTTTGCCTTCCCAGGGGAAGGGGAAGTAGGCTGTAGGGAAAGTGTAATGTATTTTCTCCTTCCAGGAGTAAAAATGCTGGAGTCTTTACCTTTCTGCTGTTGACTCTCAGTTTGGCTTAGCCTCCTTGACCCTGTATTTTTAGGGTCCTTATCCTGAAGGAGGATAAGACTCCTTTTAGACAGTATGCGTGCCCACATAGATATGTAAGAACAATAAAGTATGTTCTGTCCACGTACACAAGTTGTGGAGCTTTGGAACCTTTTCCTTCTGTATAGCTCTTTCTCTTTGTACCAATACACATTGGTGCATTTAACTGTGACCATATTACACTGCTGAAAGTAAATGATTTTCAAAACAAGTCAAGGAGTTTCAGTTTGGGATCCTGAACTGTATAAAAGCACGCACTTCATGAACATGCAGCTGCAGACTTTCTTTTAGCTGCTTTGTCTTTTCTGTTTCTTTTCCTTCCTTTACTCATTGTTGCAGAGTTTTGCTTGAGGACAACACATGAATAGGAGGAAACAGGCTGCAGCACTTTCTTCCCTGTCACCTGAAAAGATGAGTTCCTTCCTAAACAAATACAAGAACTCTGCAGAAGCAGCCAAAAGAAAGCTATGAGAAGTTCTTACCTGCTTTTGGCTAAATCAGTAGTTTCTTTCCACCTTAATTCTTAACCTGGATATTACAGTTGATGATAGTCATGAAAATTGGGACTAGAAATAAATAAATGAATGAATGTTTGACTATTTTACCATTTAATTCTTTTATTTTATAGATGGCAAAACAGGCACAGGAACTCTGCAAGTTGTCATCCAGCCTTGCAACAGGAATTTTCCACGAATAATTAAAACTGATTATATAATGTGCAGAGACAGAAAACCTATCTGCCTCACTGCAGAGGATGGTGATATTGCTTCTTACAGCATGCCTTTTGTATATCGCGTGACTGACCGTAACTTGGCTTCCTCATGGAAGATAACACGACACAACGGTATGAGACTTCCTCCTCAGTTAGCTGTAGGTTGCCAGAGGCAGCTGTGGGACATCTGCATTGGGTGGACTGGGAGATCCCTTGATAAATGCACATTGGAAACTGGTCGGTAGAGCTGATGAGGTAGACTTGGTCATCTATAACAGTCCCTCAGTTTCATTTGCTGTATGAGAGATCAAAAGTATAACATGAATAAAAGGAAAACACTAAAGGGGTCTTAGCTGTCCTGGGTTTGCAAAAGTTAGCAGGGTGGTACTGTTGGCATCACAGAGGCAAGGAGAAAGCTACTATATTCTGCCTCTTGTAGCATAAAAAAGAATTTGTCCTCAGCTTACCTGGGTCAGAAATCAGCTGCTGTCTAAAATTGTGATGTAAAAAGATTGTGTGTGAGAACAAAAATCAGTGTATTAAATTAGATAAACACCTCTGGAATAGAAAGTATACATTCATACTTTCATAACTTGTACAGAATTTAACAATGAAATAGCCAATACTCCAAATGAAAGTACAGCTTTTTTGAGGCTGCTGTTATAGTGAAGGACTGGGAAATGGAAACTTTACCTCAAATTGATTAGAGCCATTTTTTTTCCTCACTACTGCTGACAGCCAGCACGTTTTAGGTGAAACAGAGATGGATTAAAAAACAAACAAACAAAAACAAAAATACAACACAACAACAACCCCCAAACATTATTATCTCTCTTAATATGCTTATGTTAATTTTAAGTATTTTCGTAGAAATAGATGAAGGATTTGCTAGAAAAGAAGCAAAAATTCGCTGATACAAAAAGTTATAGCTGGTAGTGGTTTCCTGGTGGGTGCTAGATGATGTCATCAAGAGCAGCATATATATTTGCTACCATGTTGTCATATGTAGATAATTAGCCTGAAAAGGATCCGATTCTGAAGTGTCTAGACAAACATGCACTAGTGAAAGGCAAAAGGCAGCGAAGTCTGAGACTGAAGACATCTGAAAGTTTCAAGGTTTATACTAGGCAAATTAAAAAAAAAAAAAAAAAAAAAAGAGAAATTAAAAGGGACGTACAATTTCATGTAACTCTCAACATAAAATAACCATTATGTACAAGATCATTGTACATAATAATTGATGTATGTATTTTTACAAATTATATATTTTCCCCTTTAACAATGACCAGTGACCAGGTATTTTACTAAGAAGAGCAGCACACGAAATGGATTTCACTTCCCATTGGATATAGCAACAGAGCTAAAGAATGGAAGGGGATATGCATTGTTCCAATCACACTGCTGGAAGTGCTTCCAATAAATGTCATTGACAGTCTTTTTTAGTAAATGTAATTGGAGTTTCAGGCATTGTTAACAGTATATTTATTTTTGTCTTTTTTACAGAGAAGTCTGTGTATCTTTCACCAAGGGGTGATATTCCATTTGGAATATACACTATTCCTGTAACTGTGTCTGATAGATCAGGAAAGCAAGGAGTCACCCAAATAAGAGTTAACTACTGTAACTGTGTTGTTCCAAGTGAATGTGAAAGGATGGCTTTTGCCTCCAGCAGTGTTACTCTTGGTGTATGGGCCATCCTTGCTATGATCTTAGGATCATTACTCTTGCTGTGTAAGTATACTTTTTATTTTAATGTTGAGTGCAAAACACTTCATTTTTACAATTACCTGAGGATGCCCAATTCAAACTTGATTCATATAATCATAGAATGGCTTAGGTTGGAAAGGACCTTAACGATCACCTAGTTCTGCCATGGGCAGGGCACCCTCTGCCATGGGCAGGGATGCCACCCACTGGGTGGTATTGGGTGGTGGGCTGACCAGGGCCCCATCCAACCTGGCTCTGAACACCTCCAGGGATGGGGCATCCACAGCTTCTATGGAGAGCCAGTTCAGTGCCTCACCACCCTCTTGAGTGAAGTATTATGGATTGTCTTTTTTAAAGATACTTCATGCTTAAGCATTTAAAAAGACTAATATAACAAAATTAGTTTTCAAACAAAATTAGATACCATTTTGAGGTAAAGTTCAGAGTATCTTCCTCCCTTATTTTCTCTCCAGTAATCCTGATTACAATCTGTGGTTGTTGTGGCTCTGGGGTAATGCGCAGGCATGTGACTGACGATTGTGCCAATCACAACTTAATCATTTCAAATACAGAAGCTCCAGGAGAAGAAGTGATGGTAAGTTGTCTGTTTCTTTCAATGTAGAAAGACATAATGAAGATTCTTGGTTTGCAAATATATGATTTAGTGAAGGAAATATGGAATGAACACAAGAATCATTGATGTGCTTTGCTATTTTACAAGACTTTGAAAGCTCTTACCTTAGGCAATCGTTTGTACTGTATATATATTTAAAGATATCCTGTGGTTGTTATTCTAGGACCCTCAGCTGTTAATAATAATTCTGAACTTTAACTGATTGGTTGGAAGTTTCAGGTGGATATTTTAATTGGTCTTGTAATTTTCAACAGTGAGATGGAAGCTTACTCTTTGGCCCATGTTGAATATGTGCTCATAGCAAAACATTGTTGCTGTTCCTTGGAGAAGAAATTTTTAATTTAGCCAATAATTACCTTAGGTCTCACAAGTACGATTTCTACTTTTCCCCAAAAAAATAAACCCAAGGATAGTTGATTTTTGAGTCAGTGGCAAAAGTATTGAACAGTCCACATTTACAAAATATGTTCTTGCTTTTGGTGACTAAACTATTTCAAGATTCAGTCTGTTATGAACATAGTCCAGCCCAGGTCTGCATTCATATACAAGGACTTACCTCTTCATAATTTTTCCCTTCTCTGTCCCTCACTCCTTGGCTTTTGCTTCCTCAGAAAAAGGATACTTTAAGAAACATTGAGTTTGCTTACGTTAGAAACCAAGACAAACTATCCTAATTATGACAAATGTCAAATTTGTTATTGCCTATGAAGCATAAAATGTAGTGCTGTTATAAATTGATGCATAATCTTTAATTTATATGATCCCATACTAGTTTTTCCATTTTTCATCTGGTATGCAGACTTAACGTAGAATAAAATAGAATGAAATTTATGAATATGACTATATATCTGGTTTAATGGGTCACAGGTTGTTGACTTTAGAAACCAAGTGTTATTTTGTGATATTTTGAGAAACTAACATGTATGGATTGTAGTGCGTCTTTTGTCAGGATAAAGATTCAGTTGTTGGATCTCGTATCATATCTAATTGCAGATTATTGTTTTCTACTTGTCCTAATGTCCCTCTCCAAAGACTACCCATTGATTTTTATGTATAAAGTGGTAAGGATGGCTTTTTGTTCAAAATGTCACTGTGCAAGACTAAAAACTTGAGTTTTCTGTATTGACAGTTCCCAATTGCTGAATTTTACAAATGCAATAGAAATAAAAACAAATGAAAGGTTTCTCCACTATCACTCTTTTTATTTTATTTTACTTTATTTTTTTTTAGGATCACAATATAATTCCTCTACAAAATACAACTGATCAAGTAGGATGTGGAATAAAAACAGGAGATCAACAAACATTTGAAATGGTAAAAGGAAGAGGTCATACCCTGGAATCAGTCAGGGGAGGTGGACATCAGACTCTGGGATCAGTCAAAGAAGGAGGAGGAGGACAACCTGTGATGGACACATGTAGATACTCTTACTCAGAATGGCATAATTTCACACACCCTCGTTTAGGTGAAGTAAGTATTCTGACTCTAAGTTTGTTGGAGTGTAGGTTATGATCAGTGTATGCAGACTTCTCAAGGAAGACATGTTTTTGGGCTAGAAAGGTGTTTTTTTTGTGTGTTGTTTGCTGTTTTTTTCTTTTTCTTTTTATTCTCTACCTCTCATTTTGGAATATGACTTTCAAAAAGTCATCCTTTAAATATTTTGAGACTTAAGCATAAACGACTTTCTCTTGGCTTAAACTGTAAGCAGTATGCTATTTTACACTAGAGTATTTACTTTCATTAATAATATTAGCCTTACTCAAGTTTTTGTGAGTTTAGTTTGCTTTTATTCTAACTGCTTGCTCTGTACTAATTTAAGACCTTATATTTATCTTAGTGATGTAGGAATGTATGTACAGCATTAGAAATGTAGTTACCCCATGATTTGGAGATCAGAAACTCTACTTACCTAACTAGTTACATGTAAGCCAGTCATTCAATTTTGAGTGGATTTTAGTTGTCTGACAGGCTATTTAAACAGGTTCTTCCTCTATTGTTGTTACATATGTGATTAGTAGAAATGATTTCTTTATTAAATATTTATATTCTATAGTCTTAATGATATAGACCAATCATGTGCATTTTTTGTATATAGGAATCCATTAGAGGACACACTCTGATTAAAAATTAATCAATGAAAGGTAAATCAAAAGAAATTATTTTTATGCAATATGTTTAGGATAACAATTTAAGAAAATAATAAGCTGTGTTCTCTTCCTATGCAGAAGGTGCACCTATGCAGACAGGATGAAGAACAGAAGCATTCTGAAGATTATCTCCTTACATATAACTATGAAGGAAAAGGATCCTTGGCTGGTTCTGTAGGCTGCTGCAGTGATCAGCATGAAGAAGAGGCACTTGACTTCTTAGATCAGCTGGAACCTAAGTTTAGGACATTGGCAGAAACATGTGTTAAAAGATAAATGTGCCTTTCGCAGTGCTGAAAAAAAACCTGTAAATAAGTCCTACTTTTGTGATACTGGGTATTTTGGAATTGAATGCAACAGATTCTTCCACTGTTTGTTTTCTGGGGGAGAGGTTTATCAAAACTAATTTAGAGTGGTGAGAGTGTAAGTAACTCTTACGTTAAATGTATAGTAGATTTTTTTAGTCTCTACTATACACATTCCATCAAAAGTAAGGGATTCAAACCATTTTTTCTTTAGACTATGTTCATATAGTAATGCTAGTTTCTTTTTAGATTACATTTTCTGTTCTTTGTGATTGCTTAAAATGCAGAACTTAGTGCTGTTTATGATTGATTCAGCCTCAAAATTTTACTGTATTTGGCTTTGGAGAAGGAAAGCTTTTTTCACTCACTGTTTCTTTGTTTTCTTTTAATTCTGTAGAAATAAAACCAAAAATATTACTGGTGGATATCAAATACCTTGTTAATTTTCAACATAGATGAATGAAATGTATATGAGATATTTCTCATTTTTCACACAAAAAATAACCAATGATTACATTATAAAATTTTATATTTTGATTGAAAATTAAATATATATATATTGTATATATGTAAAATATTATTCAAAAATATATTTTTCTCCTAATGGGTTGCTACCCATCAAACTTGCTATCCTAAGGGATTTATGGCATCAACACATAGGATATCAGCATTGTATGCGAGTATATATTTTTCTTATAAGGAAATGAGAGATGAAAAAAATCAAGAAACAGGGGTAACTATTGTACTTTACATGAATACAAGACAAATCTCATGTTTACTTGACATAAGTTTGTACCTCAGTTTCTTGTGAGTTTTAACATGGTATCATTACAGAAATGAACATTGCCAAGAGTTTTGTCCAGCATAGCTACCACTACCTTTTTTACTTCTTTAGCTGCGGATGTCATGAGACTTTCTTTCCATAAGTAGAACTGACAGAAGATAGAGCCCAAATGGATTGAGCATGTACTGCATAATAACATGTTTCAAAGATAGCTCTATTTGAGACACATAAATAACACCAGGATAAAACGTCTCTTTTAAGCATATTATGTGGTGGTTGTAGAGGTATGCATTTTCACAGATCTCTGGCAGAAATCATCTGAATCCCATTTGTTGTTTTACTAGATCAAGCATACATATACACTATATATATATACAAAACTCTGTAATATGTATTGCAAATGACAGTAGTGTGACCTGATTATTGTCATAAGCTATTTCTGGAATTCAGCCTCTGCTTCCCAAGTTTTGTATGTTTTTAATATTTGCACTCCTGGTTAAGTACTCCATCCTCTGCACTCTGGGAATTCTCTTGTGCCTTAAAAGAACGTCTTCCTGCCTATGAGAAAGACAAACTTGTGCAATCACTTATTTCTGTATCTGTATTTCTGCTTTTAGGATTTGCTTTGTAAACGTAAGCCTTTGGGAGATACTCGTAAAAATTTACTGTAGCTTATTCTGTGTAAGACGAATTATTTTGTAACAACAAAGAGTCTCGCTACCCTCAAGTTCAGTGCACAGCTGTTGCTGACTTCCAGTGATTGAAGTTGATTCCAGATTATAGTCAGTGAAAACCCGTAACAGTATAAAAAGTTAGTTATATTAAAACCTTCTTCCTTACACTGTAAATGGGCTTATGGTAAGATAAATCGTGGTTATTAACGTTAAATGTATTTTATTTTATTATTTGAAACTGGAAATGAACTACTTTCACTGCCAGCGAGTGGTAAGAGTGATGGTCACCAAGAGCAAAATTTTAGATGAGAAATAAGGTGTTCTAACTTACATTCTGAAAAAATATTAACACTATTTCCATGGACACTATTCTTTATCACTAACATAAATGAGTTTTGCTGTATGTTTAGGCAGACCTGTGGCTGGTGCAAGTCAGGATGGCCTTGCTGATGTCAGTGGAGCTGTGCTGATTCATTCTGGGTGAAGATCTGTCCCCTACTGATTTCCTTAGTTCTTTCTTGTCTTGTATCTTCAGTTATTGGCTATACACTTTTTAAGGTAATGTTGATATCCTTTTTTCTCCCTTTTTATTATTATTATTTTTTTAGTTATAAACATTGTGTAATTCAGAAGGACCTAAGATAAATAACAGAAATGCACTCCTTTTGAAAATTATTTGGGGGTGGTATAGAGAAACCTCTAGAAATACGGTTTCTTTCCTTATACTAGTAGTGCTATTTGAAAGGAATAGACTACATTAATTTGAGCTTTAACGGGCTATTTTAAGTAGATGATTGCCAGCTTTCCAGCTCTGGAGTTGCAGTAATTTATTGAAAGCAAAATAATGTTTTCTACTGGAATTTACATTAGATATATTTTCTTTTTTTTCTTTTACATTTCAACAATCATAATTAGTTATATTCATTTTTTGTCCATTTTTAAACAAAGCACAAAGTTGGAATAACCCACTTGTCTGTCTTAAAAATTAATTACCTATTTTTGTAAAACTAAGAGTAGAAAGGTAATTGAGATGCTTTAAAAAGTGAGCTGTAAAAATACTTTCTGTGTTATCTTCTAATCATGTGAATGGAAACTTGGCATAAATCATTACAGTTTATAAATCCTAAGTACCAAATAAGATTTGTATAAAACTTACATTTTGAAATATTTCACTTGTATGATTCACTGTTTGTTGTCTTGAATCACCTTAAAAATTGTGAAAATTTGTTCTCTTCAACTAGATCACATCCAAATCATCTAGTTGTGTAAACAATATCTTAACATCATGTTCTAGGAATATTTTGTACAACAGTGATTAATAATTTTTTTCAAAATAAAAGGAACTTCTACAAAAACTGTTCATTTCTTGTACGTGAATTAGTCGATGAAGATAAACGTGCAGCTTTCTGCAGTAGATTGGATTTTTAAATTTTCATGTGTTTTTATGATGTTATACTACTGTAACACTAGGAGTATTTGTCCTTGCAGCATGAGTAGTAATGAATTTCAGCTGTCCAGTTGTTTTGGGGGGCTTTCTTAATGCTTATAAAATCACGGAACACAGGGTGAATTCAAGATCATGAAGTGTTAGTGTTGTCATCTCACTGATGAATTGCAAAAATACATAGTGCCTGTTTTCAAAACCTCTTCAGATAATCTAATGGCAGCAGATAACCCATACTTTAAGGTTCAGCCATTCTAAAGGTATAGGGTATTAATATTGTAGGTTTTGTCTGACCAGTGGTCGGTCAGCTTTTGTTACCTGGATTCAGGGGAAAGGATTCCCAGCATGGTATAGGTTAGAAGGGGACTCTGGAGGTCACCTGGTCCAATCCTTCCTGCTCAAACAGCACCACCATAGAGCTGCTTTCCAGGACAATGTCCAGATGGCTTCTGAGTATCTGCAGTGATGGAGACTCCACAAAATCCCTGAGTAACCTGGGCTAGTGCTCGATCACAAGTGTCTGCTGATGTTCAGAGGGAGCCTCTGGTATTTCAGTTTGGGCCATTGCCTCCTGTCTTTGTTACTGAACACCACTGAAAAGAGCTTGACTTCTTTGCACACTCCCTTCAGGTATTTATGTCTATTGGTAAGATCCCCCCAATACTTTTCTTTTTAGGCTAAATAGGCCCATCTCTCTCAGCCTTTCCTCACAGGAAAGGTACTCCAGTACCTTCATCATCTCTGTGACCCTAAGTTGGACTCTCCAAGATGTCCATGTATCTGCTGTAATGGGGAGCCTGGAACTGGACCTGGCACCACAGGTGGGGCTTCACCAGTGCTGAGTAGAAGGGAATGATCACCTCCCTCAACCTGTTAGCAATACTCTTTTAATACTGCCCAGTGTACTGTGAACCTTCTTTGTGGAAAGGGCACATTGCTGTCTCATGTTCAAATTGGGTGTCCACCAGAACACCCAGCTATTTTTCTGCAAAGTTGATTTCTAGCTGGTTGGGCCCCAGTGTGTGGTGGTGCCTGGCACTGTTTCTCCCGTTTCAGGATTCTGTACTTCTCCTTAATAAATTTTATAAGGTTCCTCTCAACCCATTTCTCCAGCCTCTCCAGGCCCCTCTTAATGGCAGCACAACTTTCTCATGCACCACTCACTCCTTGCAGTTTTGTGTCATTAGCAAACTTGCTAAGGGTATGCTCTGTCCCATCATTCAGATCTTTAATGAAGATGCTGAACAGGACTGGAACCAGTATTGATCCCTGGGGTATGCTGCTAGTTACTGGACTTCAACTAGACTTTGAACCACTGATCACTGTCCTCTGGACCCAGTAGTCCAGCCAGTTTTCAATCCACCTCAATATCTGCTCATCCAGTCCATACTTCATGAGCATCATCAGCTTCTCCCTGAGGGTCTTAAGGGAGACAGTATCAAAAGTCTTACCAAAGACAACACAAACAATATCTGCTGCTGCCCCCTCCTCTATCAAGCCAATCATTTAATAGTAGAAGTTCATCAAATTGGTCAAGCATGAGTTCCCCTTGGTGAATCTATACTGACTGCTTCTGGTAACTTGTTTTTTGTGTGCCTAGAGATGGTTTGCAGGATTAGGTACTCCATCACCTTCACAAGGTTCAAGGTGAGGCTGATCGACTGGTAGTTCCCTGGGTTGTCCTTGCTCTTTTCTTAAGATAGGAGTTACATTTGCTTTCTTCCAGTGCTCAGGCACTTCTAGTCATCACAATCAGTCAATGGATACTAAGAATAGCCTTTCAATGACATGTCAGCTCCCTCAGCACTCCTGAACGCATATTGTCAGGGTCCCAGGACTTGTGTGTCTTGTGCTTGCTGAAGTGTTTCCTAATGTCATCCTCTGTCATAAAGGGTACATCTTTCTCACTCCAGATTTCCCTCTGGGACCTGGGATTCCTGAAGACCAGCCTTGCTAGTAAAGACTGAGGCAAAGGAGGGATACTGTACCTCAGCCTTTTGCATGTCCTGTGTCACCAGGGCCTCTGACTCATTCGGCAAATGGTCCACATTTTCCCTATTTTTCCTTTTGTCATCTCTGGACTTAAAGAAGACCTTTTTTGTTGTCTTTGACTTCACCTACCAGATTCAATTCCATTAGGGCTTTGACTTTCCTAACTACGTGTCTGCATGCTCAGTCAGTGTCTTTGTATTCATCCCAGGTTAACTGTCCTTGCTTCCACTCTCTGTATGCCTCCTTTTTGTATTTTTTTTTTTTTTTTTTCTAGGAGCTCCTTGTTTATCCATACAGGCCTCCGGTTGTCTTTGCCTGCCTTCCTACTCACTGGAATGGACTTGGATGGGTAATCTTTGAATATGAATCCAGCTTTCCTGAACCCCTCTTCCCTCCAGGGCCTTATCCCATGCATGGGACTCTACCAAGTAGATTGTTGAAGAAGCCAAAGTCTACTCTCTTGAAGTGCAGGGTTATGTTCTTGCCTTCTACCCTCCTGTCAGGATGCTAAAGTCCACCATCTCATGGTCGCTGCAGGCAACACCTGTAAGGGGACGGGGAGTGTGGGTACACAGACAGTCTGCAGTGGGTCTTTACGTGCTGGCACTCCATGATACATCACTGAGCAGCAAGGCCTGAAACTGAGTTGGGTTATTTAAATTGATGCTACACCTAAGCACCACAATGTAAATGGTGTATCCTACAGATAGCTGCATCTTGTTTCTTTTTTTTTTTTTTTTCCCTTTTTGTCTTTTTTTTTTCCCTTTATTTAATGATTTTCCTTGGAGGGGAAGGGGCAAATATTTCTTTTATCAGAAGGCTATTAAAGAAGGTGTTGTTCTTGCTCTTTTAATCCTATTCAGTGTCCTTTGAATGCATGCAAGGCAAGGGTTGGTTCTTTACTTTTTATTTTTATTCAAAACATTGTGTTACTAGAACAGTGAGGTACCTGACATGAGAAGGGGACCAACCTGTCTAATGCACTTAAGACTTACACTGAAAAAAGGCTACCATGAAATGCATCTTGTGTCATGGGTTTTGCTTTGTTTTTACAGTACTAACAGATATTCTTTCTTAGAGGAGAGTTTGTGATTTCCCATGAAGTATTGTTGATTTCCACACAAATATTTATTAACTATTATCCTTCAGTATATCTATTGGACTATAAATCATGCGGCACTTCAAGTGGAACAACATGAATATTCACTTAAACCTCTGAAATCTGTAATGTCTTCAGACAAATTTGTGGCATTAAATACCAAACACAGACACGCACACACAAAGTTTATATGTATAAGTCAGATTTTCCAGATTAAAAACTGCCCATATAATATTGCTGGTGAGCAAAACTAAGCAAGGAGATGTACGGAAGCAATATGTTGTTTTGTACAGTTTTCAAACATCTGCTGGTCTTCTATTAGCTGGAATACACTGAAAACTCTGTACACAATGGCTTTCCATCAGCAAGTGCCTTAAAGAAATCTGCAATCCCAAAGTACTAGCTTCAAACAACTCCCAGAATAATTTGTTCTGTTCTCTGAGCACAGACTCCTCATGCTAATTTAGGACTTGTCCTCTTTAGCTTTAGCCTCTAGATTCCCTTCTTACCCTAGTTCTCTCTTCCCCCTTGCTTTCTTTGTTCTCAGCTCTCGCCTGGGGACATGCCTCTTTGTATATATTAGTATAATCTCTTATCTCCCAAAAGGCTTGTCCTTTTTATATGCCAAACATTTCTGTTGCAGTTTACCCTCTCTTCTTCTACTTGTGTTCCAGTTCAGCTCCTGTGCTATCTGCATTTGTGTGGGCTACCTGCACACCAGGAAAGGCAGTGCAGGGACTTTAAGCAAACAACAAGTAATTTAGCATAAGCAAATGAAGTTATTATCCTGCAGTGAATGTATAGTTAGCAGAGATTTAGACTACTAAGAGAGTTTTGGCCTTGATTCATTTAAACTAGAGACAAAGGCTTCTCATTGGTTGGATGAATCTCACCTGTGTATCTAACTTCAGTTATAAGGCCCATGGTTACAGTGACAATTGAAAGGAAAAAGCCCTGGTCAACCTCAAAGACTATTACATGAAATATGCTTCACAAATCATCCTTTACATACTACCCATCAGAAATGAACAAGTTATCTGCAGAATGGAAATCAGACACTATTTGATCAAATATGACAGACATGACCATGCTTTATCCAATATCCAAACACACAACTCTTAGCAAATTAATCCCTAGTAGATAAGCAAGATTTTATTAAAAAAATTACAGATATCAGAACTTTTGAACAGGTTGACTGTGTGTGTGAGGAGACAGTTTTTATTTATTTATTTTTAATTATCACTTTCTAAGAAAGCATTATATTTTTGAACTAAAAGTAATTAGGCTCTTAGGGAAAAACAACAACAAACAAACGAACAACAACAACAACAACAAAAAAAACTTCCATCTGAACCCAACAATTTACATTTTCAAGGCACACAATCTTCATCTGCTTCAGTGGCTGAAAGCATTCTTGGGCAAACAAGGAAACATTGTGCAATTCTTTAAGTACAGGTAGCTTTGCTGGATAACCCTGTAATTAAGCCATTTCAAATAACTACAACCAAGCCACTACAAACTTATCACATAAATGTTTTAACAGATCAAATAGATCCATAAAGACCAAAGTCTTTCTTCCCACTTTAAAGAGGCTATAATTTTACCAGATCAAGGAGTATGTGACGAAGTTTTATGCTCCACCTCTGCTCTGGAACACAAAAGCAGCTGGCAACTTTTCCTTGCCACCCTAACACATGTTTTTTGTAATATAACTTGGGTTTTGTTTTGTGCACAGCTCAATCCATCACTACATCAGCAACAAAAAAGGGGAAAAAAACATACAACACTAACATGCAGCAAACACAGAAAGCCTTTAGATG